TAAGTCTGTAGTGCATCTAGATATGTTTCTTTACATGGCACTAGATAGAAATCATACAACATTTTAAAAGTTGACTTTCACTTATTCATTCAAACCCAATTCTTATTTTTTTATTCATAATAAGTTATGACAGGTATATTTCATACTTGAAGACTATAATTAATATCCTTCCATTTTCCATTTTCATGTATATGTATATATATGACACGTGTGTGTATATAAAATCCCTTAATTATCTTCAGAACTCTTCTATAAACTGTCATCAAATTTTCTCTAGACATTTTATTAATCATACAAAAATTCTTACTTACAACAAGTTCCAGAACACCATCCCCTTCTTCAGCAGTTTCTATCACAGTGGCACCAAATCCAAGTTCTCGGATGAACTCTGAGATCAGCTGGGGTTGTATAACAGTAGGATTATACCTTACTTCTGCCTTGCCAGCCATCAGTGCTACAAGTACAGAATATATTCCTAGGAGGATCAACAATAAAAACAATACAGAGAATAGTCCTTATTAGAAAAAGAGTAAATCCTATAAGTACTCCTTATTATCTTTCATTTCCTTTTTTTTTTTTTTTTTGGTGGCCTGGGGATCAAACTTGGGAACTTACACTTGCCAGGCAGGCGCTTATGCCACTGATCTATCTACCATTCATTTATTTATCTATTTATCTATTCATTTATTGTTGGAACTGGAGATTGAACTCAGGCCCTTGCACTTGCCAGGCAAGCATTTATTCTACTGAGCTATCTCCCCGGGTCCTACCCTTTATTTTTTAAAAGAGTAACATTAAAGCAGGCATGGTGGTACATGTCTACAATCTCAGTGCTTGGGAGGCTGAGGCAGGAGGATTACCATGAGTCCAAAACCAGTCTGGGCTTGACAGTAAGTTTGAGGCCAGCAAACTATACAGAAAGACCTTGTCTCAAAAAAGACAAAAAACAACAACAGTAAAAAGTAAAGTTATACTTAGTTTTTACTATTCTTCTCTTAACTGTGAAAGGATTAAAATGAATCTCCAGAAATTTATGACTTTTTAATAAGTCTTAAATCCAAAGCAAATAAAACCATGTAAAAATGCAGCCATTATTTCCTTAAATTATCAATTCTTTCATATACATTTTACATAATATATATATATATATATATATATATATGTGAAAAACATAACAAACTTGCTGTACCCACCTACCGAACTGCAGTAATTATCAATATTTGACTGATGTTCTCCTTTTTCGAGGTGGAGTTTCATTATGTTGCTCAAGCTAGCCTCTAACTCATGGGCTCAAGGGATCATCTTGCCTAGGCCTCTTAAGAAGCTGGGACTAAAGATCTATGCCAGGTTCTTTTTAAATGTATATTCCTATCCACTCTACCTCCTTCCCTCTATCCAGTTTACAGTGAAACAAATCCTACACATCCTATCATTTCATGTATAACAGTTGAACATGTACCTCCTAAAAGATAAGGTGCTTTCAAAAATAACAACATGGCTAGGGATGTAGTTCTGCTGTAGAGTACTTGCTTAGCATTCACAAGGCTTTGGGTTCAATCTCTACCACCATATACAAACAAAATAAACATAATATCACTTTCACATCTGGAATTTCATCAAATATTCTGCCATAAGTTATATATGTAGTGATGCATGCTAATGACCTCAGTCATTCAAGAGACAGAGACACGAGGATCACAAGTTTGAGGACATTAACATTAACAACCTGGCAAGAGTGTCTCAAAATAAAAATTTTGGGGCCGGGGAGATGGCTCAGTAGAATAAGCACTTCCCTGGCAGGCGCAAGGGCCTGAGTTCAATCCCCGGTTCCGCCAAAAAAATAAATAAATAAATAAATAAATAAATAAAAATTGACCTTAGAAGGTTAGGGCCAAAATGTTGGCTTTCCTTGTAGCCCTCCTTTTTCTCTAATTTTGGTCTGCAAACTTAGGTTGTTAACCATCCAGAAGACAAGCTATTGTTATTATCAAACAATTTAGGCTATCAAGCTTAACCTCACTATCTCACTGAATTTCAAACATCTTAGGCATAATAAGGAACATGTATTTTTCATCAAGTATTGATATGTTGAACTTTAAGTCCCTACATAATGACCAAAAAGCTACAACTCTTGTTGCACAGGTCCTGCTTTACCTTGGTCTTAACCATCCAGCAGAAAAGTATGAAGACGAAATATAGGAAGTAAAGCCATGTTGTTATGATGAACTGTGGGGGACTCAGGTCAATAATTTCTGACATTTCCAGTTAAACAGAAGACCCAATGCTATTATGGGCTACTGGACTCTTTTAGAATATTTTGCTGAGTTTACACACCTATAATATTCAATAATGGAACTTAGAACAAATGGAATATACCGATGAATGTCCATTTTGTATCTGTGTATTCAAAGTGGTTAGGATAGATATATAGTTGCATTCTCTTAATGAATAGAATGATTTGTTCTAATGGTGTTTGTAATTAGGATCTCAAGTCCGCATCTTGTACAGCAATTAACCACTAAGAAGAATATATGCAGTGTATTATTTGTTGAAACTGTACTTCCGATTTGATTTGAAACTGTCTCATTGCTATCTGTTTATCAATAAAATTTTGAAAAAATAAATAAATAAAAATAAAAATAAAAATTTTTAAAAGGCTGGAATATAAATCAGAGCAGTGCTTGCTCAGCAAGTATGAGACTTGGGTTCAATGCCCACTACAGGAAAAAACAATCTACACAGTAACACATTTCTACAATTTTTTATAACAGCTTATTAGTGTAACTATATTTGTTTGAATTAGGATCCAAATAAAGCGCATGAATTGCAACTAATTAAGACTAGGTCTTGGAAGATTCATTAAGGCTGCATAGAGAAGGAATCATATTGGAGCTTTTCAGAAAAAAATCAACTGAAAACACAGGTACTTAGAAGAAAGAGCACAGGAACTGGGGGTTTATCCCCAGCACCACATGCCGTGCCAGCTACTAGGACCAGGCATAGTGGTGCACGCCTGTAATCCCAGCACTGGGGAGGCAGAAAACAGGAGGATCACAAGTCGGAGCTGCATAGTGAGACCCTGTACCAAATACATTAACAAAATAAAAGAAAAAAAGAGAAGGATATACACCCTGATGCCAACCTGAAATAGGAGATTTTAGATCAAACAAAACATGCATAAGACTTTATGAAACAATAATCCAGCCTATAGGGCTGCCTATATGTGTATCACCTATGAGATCAGAGCAGCAATGGTCATTCTCAGGGAGTTTTTTAAAAATGGAGAGACTGCAAGTGGTGGCAAATTCACTCCACACAAGATGGATCTGAAATATAAGGCCCTTTATCTTTTGATCTCCTGCAAAGAGAGGACACTGCAAGCTGGCAACATATTTTACTGCCACACGAGGATGAATGACTCACTGCTCCCTCCCCAGTGCACCACCAGCATTTTGTTTTGTTTTGTTTTCCTTTCCTTTCTCTGTCACATACCATAAGAGCTAACTGGAACTTCTAGTGACAACAAGATTACGGACCAACAGTAGCATTGAGGACAGCAAGTAAAACACCACCAACCTTCCTGCCCTATGACCTGCACAAAAGTGGGGCTCAGACAACAGCACTACTATGACTACAGCACTGGGAACAACTAGGATGAAATTAGCACTCCCCTGCTCTGTGACTAGCCCAGCAACCAGTCCAGCAGCACAACCACCTTATGATCTGACACTATTCCCTCTAACTTGCAAACAGCAGGGCAAAGATGGAGGATGGAGGGGACAAGGAGTGGGAAATTAGCACTCCCCCACACTGTGACCAGCAGCCCAAGGACCCTTGGACTGGGAAGTCAGCTCTCTTTCCACTTGTGATCAGCAGTGACAGTAGCCTTGGGCTAGGGTGGTGGGAAAGAAGGAAAGCATGTGAGAGGAGCCAGTGGAGTGGAACACAGCAGGATATACAAGTCTAGGACAGGCAAACTGTACAGGGGACTGACAGAAGCTTTGGGCTACCTCTGAGGGAGCCACCACAGTGAGGAGAGCAACAAAGTGACAAATAGAGTAAGGAGATATGATGGGTCATCCAGAAACCTGCTGGCTTAAGACTACAGTTCTCATATTCAGAGGCCAAGATCAGCTCTGAATCCAGCACTAATCTTACTGCAAGGTTGGTTATACAACAATTGATTTAGACACCAGAGAAATTTTTTTCTTCCCTTCTTGTGTATTTTATTTTCCTCTTTCTGTCTGGCTATAGTGGTTGTTATTATTTGGATATATATATATATATATATATATATATATATATATATATGTTCTATTCATCCTCTTTCTCTCTTTCCTCATATATCTCTCTTGATATTATGGTATCTTCATGTGAGTGAACACAGTGACTAGTCTTTCTGGTTCACTTCAATAATCTTTTACTTTCTCCTTCATTCCTTCTCTCTTGCCCTCTTCTTGTTTCCCAAAGCTTGGTGATCATCCTTTGTCTTCCAATTTCTCTTTGACTATATTTCTCTTCATTTATCCCTGTTTTGTCCCCTAACCCTCTTTAATTTCCCCACACAGCGTAAAATTACTTTACTAGATAAACTGATCACACACAAGTTACTGATTTATGCTGGATTTTGTTATATACTACTGTAGATATTGCCCCTATGGTTAAAGCTAACAAATTAAGACTTACCATAGTTTATCAGTTTCTATGATGTGCTTGATGCTGTTATTGCTAATTGTAGTAGTTTAGCTAGAACATGAAACCTGTTATCGGTTGCTCTTCCTCGTATGACAACACTGTGATTGTTTGGGGTCAAACTCATCACCATAGTCCAGTAACAAAGGACTGGATACTGAGCCAAATAGTAACATCTCATCATTAATAAATTGGGAAGGTAGAATCTTGGAGCAGACACAAAAACCAAGACCCACCTACACCTAGACGACATCTCTGAAAAAGACATTTCCATGAATACCCAACATAGAAAAAAATGGAATTTATGTAACAGATTCAAACATGTATCGAGAAGATTAAAAGTGCCACTGAAACTATGCACAACTGATTGAACAAACAAAGAGAGAACATCTGGTCTACAAGACAAGATTGCAGTGAATGACCACTAAAAAAGATCTCTTAGGGCCACGGAGATAGCTCAATAGAATAAGCCCTTCCCTGGCAAGTGCAGGTTCCTGAGTTTAATCCCTAGTACCAAAAAAAAAAAAAAAGGATATCTTAAAAATCACAAGGGACCATGAAAAATTAATAAAATACCTTAAAAGATGATGTAAAGAAGAACAACATAAGATTGATCCAAGTATATGAGAAAGTTAGAGAAGGCATAAGTGCCACTAAAAACCTGGTCAGAGAAGTAATGGCAGAAAACATCCCAAATGTGGGGAAAAAATACAACATACATATAAAGTGAGGCATACAGAATTCTGATTAGTCATGACCAAAATAAATGCATACCAAGGCATA